CGGCTAAAGTAACTGGATGGCCTACCTGCCTGTCAGCCTTCCATCTGTGCACAAACTTATCTCGTGCCCTCATTGGTCATGTGCGCGTTCGTGTGTGTTGGAGGAGGGGCTCTGTAAGGAAGTGGCAGATTTTTTCCGGTTCTGGATTTTCAAATTCTAGCGCACTCGAGCTGGTTTCTCCAAAATTACCTACCCCACCTTAAAGTAAAAGACCAAATCATGTCAAGCTTTAACCTGAGCCTGTTTTTTCAGTCTTTACAATGCACTGTTGGAAAATACCTTCCAAAGGCTAAATTCAAACTCAATACCATAAATAACTGGGTACCAAAGTGCTTTACCTGATAGAACACGTTCCACATGGAGCAGCAACCATCCGGCTCGGCCTTTTGCTGCATATCATCTCCTCCCTCTCCACTGTTTCCATTAGATCTCTACTGTCCAATAAAACTGAAATTCCCCAAAAAATCATATTAAAAAAGTTAAAAACAATAACTTGCTTTTGGCATTGAAATGGATTAGAATCTCACAATTTTCCTGGATGTCAGGAAGGCCTGGAAGTCATTCCCTTCAAGTCCGCAACCAGTCATAGGAGTTCAAATGCAAAGCCTGAACGATGACAAGAGCGGGAGACTTACATTTTACAATTATATTTTTAATTAATACCAGAGCAGTGTGTACATAGGCCCTGTACGACATGCAGAGAACAGATCAAATCCCCTGACAGACTCACACACTTTGGTGATATCCTCTTCCAGTGGCGGCTGGTGGAAAATATTTTAGGTGGGGCTGTGGAAATGGTGATCAAACAATACTAGGGGGCATTTTTTTTAGAAAAGACCCCCTAAATTATGACTTCTGGTGATGTTAGAGGGTGGGGGGGAAGGACAATTTGAGGCTTAAAAATATGAGAAGACTGATCAATACCTCCATAACTTCAGTGTGGTTAGCTATGAATCTTCCAAAACTTCCAAACACCTTGTCCTGGACATAGTTTCTACAGCATAAACTGTGCTAACAAGCTGAGATTCCACATATTCTAGAAATATAAGTATCATCACTGAGCGATCAGAACTCGCGACAGGGGAAGCAAATACAGACATCACACGACGTAGCTTTAGTAAGGGAATGCTCTGGTTTTTGGACAAAATTAACATGGGATCACTCCCGTCACCGGACGTACTTCGTCTCACTGGAATAGTAACGGTCATAGTGAATATAAAATCGTCCCCATGTATCCGGCCAATGACGGGAGAGTTTTGAAAGAGACAAAACACTGTTCCATACATTTAAAAACACTTCAACAATTAAACAATGTTTACCTGCCAACAAGCAGCAGTGTGCTGTCATTTCAAACATGTTACCCCACTGTTTAACACACTTTTACCTGTGTTTTGAAGACTCTTTCCTGGGTCAATGTGTGCTCCAATGTGTCCTCTTTCTCCCCCCCCTGGGTGTGTGTGAGACAAGTCAAGTGAGTCAGCCTGCCAACAAGCAGCAGTGTGCTGTCATTTCAAACATGTTACCCCACTGTTTAACACACTTTTACCTGTGTTTTGAAGACTCTTTCCTGGGTCATTGTGTGCTCTTTCACCCCCCTGGGTGTGTGTGAGACAAGTCAAGTGAGTCAGCCTGCCAACAAGCAGCAGTGTGCTGTCATTTCAAACATGTTACCCCACTGTTTAACACACTTTTACCTGTGTTTTGAAGACTCTTTCCTGGGTCATTGTGTGCTCTTTCACCCCCCTGGGTGTGTGTGAGACAAGTCAAGTGAGTCAGCCTGCCAACAAGCAGCAGTGTGCTGTCATTTCAAACATGTTACCCCACTGTTTAACACACTTTTACCTGTGTTTTGAAGACTCTTTCCTGGGTCATTGTGTGCTCTTTCACCCCCCCTGGGTGTGTGTGAGACAAGTCAAGTGAGTCAGCCTGCCAACAAGCAGCAGTGTGCTGTCATTTCAAACATGTTACCCCACTGTTTAACACACTTTTACCTGTGTTTTGAAGACTCTTTCCTGGGTCATTGTGTGCTCCAATGTGTCCTCTTTCTCCCCCCCCTGGGTGTGTGTGAGACAAGTCAAGTGAGTCAGCCTGCCAACAAGCAGCAGTGTGCTGTCATTTCAAACATGTTACCCCCACTGTTTAACACACTTTTACCTGTGTTTTGAAGACTCTTTCCTGGGTCATTGTGTGCTCCAATGTGTCCTCTTTCTCCCCCCCTGGGTGTGTGTGAGACAAGTCAAGTGAGTCAGCCTGCCAACAAGCAGCAGTGTGCTGTCATTTCAAACATGTTACCCCACTGTTTAACACACTTTTACCTGTGTTTTGAAGACTCTTTCCTGGGTCATTGTGTGCTCCAATGTGTCCTCTTTCTCCCCCCCTGGGTGTGTGTGAGACAAGTCAAGTGAGTCAGCCTGCCAACAAGCAGCAGTGTGCTGTCATTTCAAACATGTTACCCCACTGTTTAACACACTTTTACCTGTGTTTTGAAGACTCTTTCCTGGGTCATTGTGTGCTCTTTCACCCCCCTGGGTGTGTGTGAGACAAGTCAAGTGAGTCAGCCTGCCAACAAGCAGCAGTGTGCTGTCATTTCAAACATGTTACCCCACTGTTTAACACACTTTTACCTGTGTTTTGAAGACTCTTTCCTGGGTCATTGTGTGCTCCAATGTGCCCTCTTTCTCCCCCCCTGGGTGTGTGTGAGACAAGTGAAGTGAGTCAGCCTGCCAACAAGCAGCAGTGTGCTGTCATTTCAAACATGTTACCCCACTGTTTAACACACTTTTACCTGTGTTTTGAAGACTCTTTCCTGGGTCAATGTGTCCTCTTTCTCCCCCCCTGGGTGTGTGTGAGACAAGTCAAGTGAGTCAGCCTGCCAACAAGCAGCAGTGTGCTGTCATTTCAAACATGTTACCCCACTGTTTAACACACTTTTACCTGTGTTTTGAAGACTCTTTCCTGGGTCAATGTGTCCTCTTTCTCCCCCCCTGGGTGTGTGTGAGACAAGTGAAGTGAGTCAGCCTGCCAACAAGCAGCAGTGTGCTGTCATTTCAAACATGTTACCCCACTGTTTAACACACTTTTACCTGTGTTTTGAAGACTCTTTCCTGGGTCATTGTGTGCTCACCAGGGGCACGAGAATACCCTCCACAGAAGGGGTCGTGGTTCCGTGAAGAAGGCCGAATTTGGGTGCTCATAGGCAGCCTGCTGCAGAGTCATTTTCAGGCTCCTCTCCACAATTGTCCCCCTAAAATGATATAAAATCATTATTTTTGCATTTAAATGCATTTATTCTATCATTTATATGGTTCCCCAACACAATGCACATAGTCTGGAGCTCACTGGGGTCCTGCATATAATTTAATCAGGCGTTTTAACACTTTTTCCCATGAAAATGATTTTTAATCACTATCATGGGGCTATGAAAATAAAATTCCGGGTAATGCAGAGCACAAGTGCACCTTTTACTATTTAAATGTATTTGTATTATATATATTTTGGCTAGAAGGTGACCTCTCTGGGTGATTTAGTCAGTTTATGGAGCTTAGCCCACAAATCCTGGATGATCCAGGCCGAATTTGGGTGCTCATAGGCGGCCTGCCAGGCGCCCCCACCCGTGGAAAGCAAAAAAAAATTGAAGAAGACGCTTAATTATAACTTAAAATAATCAAAAATGAAGTTTTGAAAAATTGTCAAAAAAATGACAGAGTGCCAACGGGAGAAGGGGCCAGACTATTGGCGCTTCGGGCCGATTTTTCCCCTTCTCCGATGGTTGGTACAACGGAGAAGGGGAAAAAGTCCCTGGGCTTCATTTCCACTTCTCTGTCAAAAAGATTCATCCATACTTTTCAAACTACCGTCTGCACGAATTCGGAAACCCAGTTTTTGGGTGCACTCAGAAAAAAAACGGCTGTTGCAAATCATGGAAGAATGTATCCGCTCACCAAGCACTTTGAGTGGGCCTAATTTTGTGGCGCAAGGACCCCCCAGCCTGGTTCTCTCAATACTTAAAGTTTGACATGGAGGAATACCCGATTATGAGACACTATTTTGGGGCGTATTTTTTACATTTCTCTGGTTCTCCAAATAGTTTAAGTTCGACATTTTGAGCCATGGAGGAATGCGAGGGCACTTTGCAGGTGACTCTACCCGATTTTGAGGCACTATTTTGGGGCGTATTTTTACATTTCTCTGGTTCTCCAAATAGTTTAAGTTCGACATTTTGAGCCATGGAGGAATGCGAGGGCACTTTGCAGGTGACTCTACCCGATTTTGAGGCACTATTTTGGGGTATAATTTTTACATTTTGACCCCTTTGCCCGGTTATCACCAAAGTTGAGTTGGATGATTTCGACCATGGAAGAATGTCAGGGGAGTCCGCGGGGGACTCCTGCGGGGTCATGAGGCACTATTTTGGGGTACAATTTTTACATTTTGACCCCTTTTCCCGGTTCTCACCAAAGTTGAGTTGGATGATTTCGACCATGGAGGAATGTCAGGGGAGTCCGCGGGGGACTCC